CTGCAGCGGCGGCGGCGGCGGCGGCGGCCTAGGGAGGGAGGAGGGGAGAGAGGGAGGGGGCGGGATGAATCACCGCGGGGGGAGGGCGCGGCCGCCCAGCCTTTGCCGCAGCGGCCCCGGAGGCTCCCGCTGCACCGGCCTCTCCGCGTAGCGCAGCGGCCGCGGCTTCTGGACACCGGACGAGTGGTCTGGGTGTCTTCAACCCTGCCAGACTCTGGGGACCCTCCATCTTCGGAGTCTGGGAGAGGTCGCCCCCCAGAGTCACAAGAGGACTTACACGGCAGTTTGGGGGCCGAGCTTCCGACTTCAGATTATGGAGGTCATCCTCAGAAGCTCGAGGGGGGCCTGGCTGGGACCTACCTCCAAGTGATCTCCCACTGAGATCCTTGATATCCGGACCTGGAGGTCACATGCAGGGACCCAAGTGTTCAGGTTAGGGCTACAGATAATGCTGCGGACCCCACCCAAGCAGGCGGGGCGCCCTGGAGTCCAAACCAGAGAAAGCTGCTCTGGGGGTTCGGAGGTGCCACGTTTTGGGAGAAGGGCCCTTCATGATCCCTCCACCCACCCCTTTAGGTCTCCGATTTAATCTACCCTCTGTCCTCCCGCTCCACTCCCGCTGTCCAGGCCCCTGCTGTTCCCAGCACAAGCTCATTCCTGCCTCAGGGCCTTCGCCTTTGCTCTTTCCTCTGCCTAGACCACTTTCCTCCCAGATGACCAGAGGGCTCACTCTCTCACCAACTGCAGCCCTTGGCTCCAATGTCACCTTCATCAGGTCTTCTGTGTCCAATCAGTGTAAACTGCCTCCCCCACTTCTTATTTGACCTTCTTTAATCGTGTTTAGTTTTGGGTTTTTTTCCCCACAGCAGTTGTCACTACCTGACATTATGTTCTTCCTTTATACAGTTTATCTGCTCATTGTCCCTTTGACAAGATCCCCCAGGGTGAGGACACTGTCCTGTGCACCACTGTGTCTCTACCACATTGAACTAGATGGGCACATTGTGGGTACTCAATAAATATTTGCCAGATAAATAAACAAATGCCAATGCTATAGCCCTTCCAATTTGCTGAAGCCACTTCTACCTCCCCAAACTTTTGCAACAAGTTCTATTATCCCCATTTACAGATGAGGAAACTGAGGCTGGGAGGGGGTCACTCCCTTGTCCAGGGTCATGCAGCTGGCCTGAGGTGGATCTGGAATCCTGCCCCAGCAATGATGAGGCTGGTCCTACCAGTAGGTTCTGCCAAATGGAGAGAATGTGGATGGGAGCTCTGGGCTGTCAGGATCAGGGTGAGTGAGACTCCTGGCTGGGGGTTGCTGTTCAGGTCCTAGCCTCCAGTTCTGGGTGTAGTAAAGTCCCAGAATCTCCTGGGGCCCACCCCTGCTGGGCAAGAGGAACCAGGGTGTGAGGCAGGCCCAGGGCACAGGCAGGGAGCCAGGGACATCGGACACCTTAGTGGTCTGGGCCTCTACGCCAGCACCTCGTGAGCTGTGAAATTCCCCTGCAGAAAATAACCCGCTTGCTTTTTCTGGGCCCTTCCTGTGGTGGGGGATGGTAGGTAGAAGCATGGTAAGGAGAGGCTTCAGCACTGGACAGGGGACACCTACTAGTAGCCCTACGAGCTAGATGTTTGCTGAGTGCCTACTATGGGCTTGGTGCTGTTCTAAGCACTTTACTATTTTAACTCATTTAATCCTTCCTACAAGGTGGGTATTATGATGCCTATTTTTATAGGCACAGGAAACTGAGGCTCAGGGTGAGTAGCTTGCTGTGATCACACAGCTGGAGAGTAGGAAAGGCTAGCTCTAGCTCTGCCCTTTGCCACCTGTGATCCATCCTGCCTCTATCCAACCCCTCCTCCAGTCTCCTGCCCCAAGACATCAGTTAGGATGATTCGTAAAGCCCAGCATGTGACAAGCCAAAGGTCTCTCTTTATCCCTCAATCACTCTGGAGCCAGCACAGGGTTTGAGTGAGATGGATCTGTGTTCTACCTGGACCAAGCACTAATGGCCTCTAAGCCCATGTCCTCATTTGTAAAACAGGGGTTCAAACAACCTCAACCTGGATGGGCTGTTGTGAGGTCCTAAAGGGGGTTAGGACCTTGCATCTAAATGTAGAGACACCAGGGGCCAGGCCTGGTCTCCTTGCCTCTCTGCTGGGTGGCCTCAGGCATTTAATCTTTGTCTCTACCTCATGGAGTTACTGGAAGAATAAAATGAACATCAGATCTTGGCACAGAGTTTGGTACATACTTAGTGCTCACTATATGAGTTACTTTTTTCCCCTCAATTTTTCTGCAATAAGCATAACATTTATTGAATACTCTGTGCCAGGCCCTGTTATAAGTAGCCACATTTATTAACTCCTTGAATCCTCATAATAATGGTTCTCAAAATGTGGTCCATGGACAAGCATCATCAGCATCACCTGGGAACTTGTTAGAAATGCAGAATCTCAGCCCTGCTCCAGAACTAGGAATCAGAAACTCTGAGGGTAGGACCCAGCCATCTGTTCTTTAACAAGAATGTTAATGCAGCTAAAGTTTGAGAACCACTCAATTATAACAATCCTGAGAGGCCACCAGGCACCAGTCCATACCTCAAAGCCCCTCCTCTGAACTCTAATGATGCAAAGCTTGTGTAAGACGCTAGGGAAATTCCAGATTGTTTCAGTGACTGTGGCCCCCCAAAATGGACAGACTCCCCCTCCCTGCCATGTTGGGATCTGAGTGTAACAGGAGGCCCCTACCCATTCCCAGGGCCCCTCAGGCACAGCCACAGCTATTTCCAACCCTTTATTGGGGCTATGTCAGCCCCAAATAAATATAATACATTAAACCCGGAGCTGAGGGCATTGTGCACCCCAGGAGGCACCCCCTACAACCCCAGCCGGGCAAAATAAGTTAGTGGGGTGCCTGCCAAAGGCCAGGCCAGCTCCCTGGCTGGGCAAGCGATGGCAGCTGGACTCGCACACGCTGGTCTAAAGTGCATCTCAGTTCTGTGGTCCCCATGTCCATCTGGCCCCTAGTTGGGCCACTGGGAGGGGCGGGCGGGAGATTTCCGGCGCTCACACCGTGCCAGCAGTGGCCACCGAGGCTGTGTGTCCATCTGTCCATTTGGGTGGACAGCTGTGTGGCCAGGCATCCTCAGGAGAAGTTGTCGTCAGGCCGTGGCTGGGTGTCAAAGGGAGGGTCTGAGACCGTGATGCCTTGATGCAGCTTCTCCAACGAGAACTTCATCTGCAGGAGGAGGCAGGCAGGGCAGGGGTGAGCACCAGTGGGGGTGATGTCACCCACCCTATTCTGCAAGTGAGGAACTGAGGACGGTCCAGAGAGCCCCCGTCAAGGGCACTCCACAAGAACAGTGGAGCTATACTGCACCAGTTTAACTTCTCTGAGGCAGCAGAGGAAGGGGCTTGGTGCGCTCCTGGAACCCAGATGGCCTGGGTTCAGATCTCAGCTCTGCTACTTACTGGGTAACCTTGGGCAAGTCCCTTCATCGCCCTGCGCCCCAGTTCCCTCATCTGAAAGGTGGGTCAGTAACACACCTGCTTTGTAGGCTTATTTCAGGGATCTGATGAACACCGAGAACCCAGCACACACTAAGCGCTCAATGCACGTTGGGTATTACTATTACCCTCTCTGTGACCCTGGCAAGTTCCTGAACTCCTTGTGCCTCAGGGTACCTCCTACCTGTCTATAAAATGGAGATAACAAGAATATCTTCCTCAAGGGTCAGCTCTGAGGATAAAGCAGTTAATCATGTTTAACACCGAGAACAGCTGGCTCCAGGTGACTGCTCAACCCACCTCTGCTGTTATCACTAATCTGTGAAGTCAACTCTGTATGCTTGGCACTTTGAGAGGGGACAATAATCAAAATTCAGCTCAGGATGGGGGACCTGGCCCTCCCTCTCCATGAGCTATGGAGCCTCCATCTTAATTCCCTTCTCACCCTATCCTGCATGCCCTTTCTAGTGAGCATCTCCCTCTGAGCACGATTTCAGAGTGTAATGAGGCCCGTGAAGGTGTTAGGGAAGGATGTGACCAGACATTGTTTTCACCATCACCTGCAGCATCAGCTCTGATGCCCTTGGGAACCCAGCCAATGCCAGACTCTCCCCGGTTTCCCATCCCCCTCCCCACCTTAGGCACCTACCCCAGTGCCCGACCCTTGCCCTGACCCACCATAGCTGCAGGCCTGAGCCTGCTGGGGCCTGAGGGCATCATCATGTGGCAACATTTATTGAGCACCTACTGTGTACCTGGTGCTAGGCTCACAATCAGAACAGCAAACACATATAAAGTGTTTACCATGTGCCAAACACTATTCCAAATGTTAACACATTTAGTCTTTGAAGTAACATCAACTATTATTCCCATGTACGGAGGAGAAGGCTAAGGCCCAAATGCCAAAGTCACTTGCACAAGGTCGCACACCAGAATTTGAACCTGGTTGTCTCAATAGATGCTGCCTCTGAACTACACGGGTGCCTGGGTCAACCCCCTTTTGGAGACAAGACCCCAATATCCTCTGGAGAACCTCTTCTACCCTCAGACCATGTGAACTTCTAGTCACCTCAAAGGGGAGCGAGGTGTACAGGGACCAAGCCGAGCCTACCCCTGGCCACTGTGATGGCTTCAGGGATGGGCATGCAACCCCAGCAGCCAGTGAGAGTGGGCTCTTTCCTGTGGATGTCAGCCTAGAGCTGCAGGTACCATCCTTGTCATCCTGTTGACTTCCCAAGACAAAGCCAACCCCGGGGATGATGCAAGAGACCAATTCTTACTACTATTACCAGTGGCTGGGCCCAGCTGTGCCTCAAGTGAGACACTCTGGACTTTTTTCCAGGATGTGAACCAATCCATTCTTCTTCCACCCGCTGATTTCCCCAGCAACCCTGTGAGGTGGGGACACAGTGGCTCCCTCATTTCACAGAGGAAGCTGAGGCCCAGAACAGGGAAGGTATCTGCCCCATCCTGGGACTGGAAGGCAGGCTCCTGCAGCCCCCCACCCCACCTTTGCCTCCCACCTCATCCAGGAGCTCCACGGAAGCCCGCAGGATCTGCCTCCACCTGTGCACCTCCACGCTGTGGAACTGCTTCTGCAGGGCCAGGATCTCAGCCCACTCCGTGGCGGTCTGCGGAAACTTGCTGTAGGGACATGGTGCCTGAGTGAGGCCTTGGCCACCCCAGTCTGCCCAAGACCCTCACCCCCTCAGGTTACCCACTCACTCCTTGGCCAGGGCCAGACTGTGCCAGGACTCGAAGGTGTGGGCTGTTCTCTCCAGGGACCAGAGGCGGTAAAAGAGGAGTATGTTGAGGGCAATGAGGACAATGAGGCTGGGGACAGGAGCAAAGGTCAGGAGCCCTATAATCCAGATGCTCCCACCAGTCGGGCACTGAGCCCTGAACTTCCCACACAACCCCACCTTGAAGGGGCACCATGATTACCCCCCTTTTCAGAGGAGGAAACTGAGACTCAGAGAGGGTTAGAGACATGCTTAGGGTGGCACTGTCCATAAGCAGAAAAGCCAGGGTTCAAATCCAAGCCTGCCTGATGCCCACACCCTTGAGCACCACACTGGACCACCACCCTGGGAGAGCCAGGGGGCATGGAATAGGGAGAATGGGCTGCAGCCGGGGTGAGGCATGGTGGCAGGCAGGAGAGGTGCGGGAAGCAGGGCCCTACCTCACACAGATCCTGCAGAGGCAGCAAGGGGGAGACAGAGAGATGAGAGCTGCCCCACCCATCCATGCGACCCCCGCCCTCTTCACCCTGGGCAGCTGAGCCAAGCAAGCCACACAGCCTCTCCCCGGATGGCTGGTGCTGGCAAACTGAGGCTCAGAGAGGCTGTGTGAGAGGGCCACTCTGACCCTCACCTCCCAGGGTCTGCTCAAAGCCCAGGGCTCTTGTTTCCGGTTCCCCAGTGTCCTGCCACCACGTCAGCAGGCCTTTGTGGTGTTAGTCTCTCTGCCTATGCCATTTTCAGGTCTCAACTCAGGCATTCTCTGCTTTCCCAGGAAGCCCCCTGACTGCCCACCTGCCAGGCCTCTCATGGCTTCCACCTCTCCTACTCTGACCCTTCACCTGTGCCTCCCCATCCCGATCCTGATCACCCTGATCTGAAGTCAGGTCTGTCTCCTCCCAGGGCAACTGCTCAATGTTGTATCCCCAGCATCACCCAGCATAGGGTTGAGCACAGATAACAGTAAACTGTATACATGAGCCTCCTTGTTTTGCAAACCTCTCCCCATTCACCTGGCTAATTCTGCATCCTTCTGATGCCTGCTCTTCCAGAAATCCCTCCTTGTCCCCTGGCCGAGGTCAGGCCACTCATACTGCCTACAGCTCCCTGGGCTTCCACTCTTCCAGGAGAGAAGACCTCTCCATGACAAACAGAGCAGCTACATGGCATAAGGAGCTCTGCTAGACGCATCCCAAACGTCCTCTCACTGAATCCTTACTGTGAGGTGAGCCCATGCTCCTACTTAAGCAGAGAGGCCCAAAGAGGCCAAGCACTTGCCCAGGGTCACACAGCCAAGATGCAGATCCAGCCTGTCTCTTACTCACACAATGCTGATGAGAACCAGGGCGTTGGGGATGCCTGCCCCAGGGCCCTGATCCACGGACGGTTCTGAGAAGCGGGAGTTGAGGGAGCCTGCGGGAGAGCAGATCGGGATCAGATAGTCATAGCCCAGGCCACCCCACCCTGGGCCCCCAGCTCCTCCACTCGCCCCAACAGAACGCACCAGAGGTGTGCATGCCAGCCCGGGCGCAGGGGTCAGGGTCTGGGTACTGAGGCCCATCCCCATGACCTCTCCAGCTCAGGGGCCGCTTCCGCCTCCGCAGGCCTGACAGCAGCCCCCGGGCATCCTTCCCACCTTCCTCCAGAGACAGCTTCTCAGCTTTGGACAGCTCTCGCTCTGTGGAAGGAACAGAGTGCTCTGGATGTCTGGCCCGGCCAGGCCACAACCGCTCCCTTGCCTTCCTCTGCCCTGGTTGGCCCTGTCCCCTACCCAGGTGGTGGAAATAATCCTCAATGCCACTCCACGAGTTCTTCTCAATGAGAGACTTCACGAGGCTCCAGGGCTGCTTCCGGTAGCGGATCTCAGAGGACACGCTGTGGTTGGGAGAGCAGGGAACAGGGTCAGGATCTGACTCTAGCCTGGGTTGCCCCACCCCCCTGGAGGGCTCTTTCCTTCCCCTAATTCAGAGAGGGCCCCTTGTCACTTACAGACAAAACAGACATGTTCCCTCCCCCCACTCCCACCCCATGGCTTCCCTGGATCCCCCACCAGCACCCCCATTCACCGCAAATGCAACTCACAGCTCCTTCTCCACCCACGCCCGCTACATAGGCAAGTCTCCTGGCTGCCTGAGCACTGACTGACGTCTAAGCCCAGACCTTGCCCCTGAACCTCCTCCACCTGGCTGCTGCACTCCGACTCCACGTGGGGGTCTAAGAGACAGCTCAGCTCAACGTCCCAAACTGAGCTCCTGATCCTTCCCCAAACCTGCACCCTCCCTACCTCCCAATGTCAATGGCAACACCATCCTTTTCATAGCTCAGGCCAAGCACCTCGAGGTTGTCCTTGGCCCCTCTCTTTCCCTCACATCCACATCCAATCTGTCACAAACTCTGTCAGCTCCACCTACAAAATCTATCCAGAATCTAAACTCTTCTCCCACTCCAAAGCCCCTGCCCTGGTCCAGCCTCCACCCACTCTCACCTGGACATCCCAGCAGCCTTCTCCCTGGTCTCCTGCTCCCATCCCTGCCCCCACAGTCAGTTCCCACCTGCAGCCACAGGGAGCCTGTGAGCACCTGTTAGGTCCTCCTGGCTCAGAGCCCTGCCCTGGCTGCACCTCACTCTAGGTAACAGCCTAAGACCTTGCCATGTCCCACAAGGCCACGCAGGATCTGGTGCACCTCTGACCTCACCTCCTCCTCTCCAGCCATTCCCCATGCTTCTGCCTCAGGACCTTTGCACCAGCTGTCCCAAGTGACTAGCTCTCTCACCTCCTTCAAATTTTTGGTGAAACATTCCTTTCTCAGAGTAGCCTTCCCTGACTAGCTTAAGTCTGCGTAAACCCCTTTGCTGGCCCACCCCTACTCTCTAGCCTGCTGTGCTTTTCTCCACAGCTCTTATCACTAGTGAATATGCTGAAGATTTACAGATTTTTTTTTTTATTGTCTAATTCCCCACTAGAATATGAGGTCCCTGAGAGAGGAGATTTTGTCTGCTTTTGCTGTATCTTGAGTGACTCGAGGCTCAAACACCCTCTGCAGATGGAACAAGTCATCATCAGGGCCACCCTCTACCTTCTACTATTCAGAGTTCAGGGGCCTCAGGGACCCAATACTTCAGCTCCTCTGACAGGGTGGGGACCAACGTTGTGCTGATGACTTGGGTGGTGGGGAGAGTGAGGTGGGATCACCAGGAGGGGCCCATCCTCTGCTCACCGGAGCCGGGCCTTGTTCCGGGCCAGGCCCAGGATGCAGTAGCGGTGGGCAGTGTAGAAGTAGTCCTGGTAAGGGATGCCTTGCGTCAGCACCTCTGAGTCCACCACACACCCGCCTGCCTGTGGGCCGCGCCGGAACAGTGTCTGCAGGGATGAGGGAGGAGGGAGGTCAGGGCCACCCCACCCAGCCATCCTACCTGCCCGGCCACCCCACCCAGCCCACCTGTGTCTCCACCACTGAGGCGCTCTTGGGGCCCAGAGGGTTGCTGATGGGAATGGTGTATGTCAGCACTCGGCGCTGGTGGCACTTGCTGTCCCCGCTCCAGGGGCTCAAGGTCACATCTGGGGGAGGGGGAGAGCAGCATGAGGAGACCATTCCCCAGTCCTTTGCCTGCAGGCTGCAAGAGACTAGGCCTTTTTGGAGGGTTTCAGTTCTCTGGGTACATGTCCCCAGACTCTACCCTTCATCCATGTCTCCACCTTGTTGTCTGCCCCACCTTCCTTCCAGGAGCCCAAAACTTTAGGTGCTGGTGATACTCAGAGCTGGGACCTCTCTCCTCCCAACATTTCTCACCCTCCTGGGGCTGTCTCATCTGCTCTGTTTCCCCCTCTGTACCAATCCTGGCTTCTCCCCTGAGCCTCAGATCTAGAGTCCTGCAACCTTCTGAACACTTTCTCCTGGGAGTCCAGGGGACCCCTCACACACCCACTGGACCCCACCTGCCTCAGCATCTCCCCAAACCTGCCCCTCCGGTCAGGTTCCCATCTCAGAGACTGCACCAGTGTCCTCCAGGCTCCCACCAGAGCACTGGACCTTGCCCCCTCCTAGTCTGTCAGCTCCACCGTGTGTTCACCAGATCTCCTGAGCATTGTTCCCAGTTCAACCACCCTTGCCTGCCCAGGGCCCTTCCCTATCCTCCCTCTGAGCACCCGGCCTCAGTCTCCACATCTGGTCCAAGGGTAACTTGTTAAAGCCAAGCCTGACCCTATCACTTATCTGCCTAGAACACTCCACGGCTCCCCAATGCCCCCAGGACAGAGTCTGATTTCCTCAGTCTGACATGCCAGTCCCTCCAGGATATAAGCATAGTTTTGGGGGACCTGTATCTCTCCAGCATAAAATACAGTCTTACTGATTCTGCAAAGGATTCTACATGGTTCATTTTCGACAACAAAGAAAAAAGAAAAAAAAACTCTCCCATCTGACCATCCCCTCCCCTACTTGAATCCCTTCTGTGGCGTTCCAAGCTCGTCATTTGGTCCCACATCAACCTTCAGCCTCACCTGGTGCTGTGGCTTCCTCTCTCCGTACCTGGCCTCAATGGCCCAGCCTCAACGGATTTCTCCCAGCATCTACCTCCAGCCTTAGGGCCTTTCCAGGTACCAAGTCTGCCTCCTGGGTTACCCTCCCTGACCCCCTCCCTTTTCCTGCCAGCCTCAGTTCCTCCTTCAGGCCTTAGTTTCTATTTCAAATCCTCCTAGCAGCTCTCCCTGAGACCCCTCAGATCCCAGACACCCTCTGACACTCACAGCCCACACCCTTAACTGCCATCACACCTGTCGTGTGGTTCTTATTTGTGTGAGTATACGAGTATATTTCCTGTCATTCTCAACAGAACAGGGCACTGAGGACAGGAGTTCATGTATTCTGGTCTCTTGTGGGCCTCTAACCCTGCACTGGCCTGTGGAGTAGACACTAAATGTGTGATCGTTAACTTGTATTTATCAAGCGCTATGTGCTACTGTTCTAGGTACTTTTCCAGTGTTAACCCATTTAGCTCTCATGAAAACTACATAAGGCAGGTACTATAATCGTATCCCCATTATATAGAAGAAGAAACTGAGGAATAGAGAGGCTCAGAACCCTGCCCAAGGCCACTCAGCTAGTAAGAGGTAGAGTCACTTCTGGTCTCAGACGCTGCATTTAACTGCCCCACCCCGCAGCGCCTGCCTGTCTCCTGGCTCGCCCTTCCCTCCCCTGCACCTGGGGAACTTGGCATCTCCTTCAGGCCCCGCCCCCTGACCTGTGAACTTGCACTGCTGTAGGAAGCCCTGTAGGAAGGGCGAGTCTGAGAAGAGCATCTGCTGGAGCCGCTCGGCGCTCACATGGAAGACGGAGTTGATGAGGAGACGGCCAGAGAGGTCGGGAAGCAGAGCAGCCAGGTCAGCTGGGAGACAGAGAAGAGCCAAGATGATGTTGGCCTCCATCCCTCCCTCCGAGTGACCGCTCCTCACCATCCTAGGCTTTGTGGGGTGGATAGCCAGACCCATTTTCCTGGACCAGAGTGGACACTGATTCAGAGCACCATTCAGTCTTCACTGCCTCAGGGATTGGTTGAGGGTGGGCATGTGCCCCAGGCCCAGCCAATCAGAGCCACCACGACTGGTTCTGGGTGGACCACACACCTAGTCCCAGCCAATTGAAATCACAGTGATTACAGGGGTGGGCGTGTACTCCCAGGCTCATCAGCCTGTGACTCTCAGCCACAGTGATTGGTTCAGGGGTGGGCTTATTCCCCATGTTGGACCAATCACAGACAACCCTAGGGCTTTTGCTGTAGCCACAGAAAAAATGCTCACTCTGCTAGGGTTGTGTGAAGTAGGGCTAAGGCTCTCTCAGCCCCTGGAGAATTAGCTGGCACAGAGAAAATGAATATAATAATGAAAGAAGTAATGATAGCCAACACTTACTAACTGTCCCAAATGTTTTGTATGTATTCACTCATTTAAACCTCTTAACAACAACCCGTGACATGGATATTATTACTGTTAACCCCTTTTTTCAGATGAGGAAAACGAGGCTCAGAAAGGTTAAATAATTTGCCCCAGTTACACTGCTAGGTTGTCATGTGGCCAGGATTTGAATCCCAGCAATCTGCCTTCAGAATCTGAGCTCTTTTTTACCTGCCATGCTGCCTTCAAAGCAGAGCTAAAGACAGACTTCTAACAGCACCGTTTGAATGCCATATCTGCCTGCCCCTGGATTTTTTAGTCCCGTGGCCAATAAACCCCCTCTTGCTTAAGCCCATCTGAGAGAGGTTTGTCATGGGTAACTGAGGCAAATGAATCAGGGCCCTCCTGCTGCCTCACCTTCCTCCCCCGTGGACGAAGAGGAGTTACTCGTGTCTGTCAACAGCTCCTCACTGGGCAGCAGGTCCAAGGGGCCCAGGGAGGTGGGCCCGTCAGGTGGGGTGGGCTCCGTGCTGGGGGGTTCAGCCACTGGGGTCACAGTCTGGCTGGAGGAGGCATCTGGCTGGCTGGCTGTCTGCTCCTCCTTGTCCTCCTCTACCTGCAGAGAAAGGCTTGGTCCAGCTTGCCCTGCCTCCATCCCAGTCTGAGGTCCCGTGTGTCCACACGGGCCACAAGGATTTGAGAGACCTTGGGCAGGAGAACCAATGCTGCGAGGTAGTGTGTGCACCTAGCACTGACAGCTGAGCTGCGAGGGGCCCTGCGGCCACTCAGACGAGGGCTCCTCTCAGCCTCTACCAGGCTTGTCTCAGATGCATGTGCCATAAGCTTTCTTGTCTGTGTTGTCCATCTGTCTGTCTTGTCCGTGCCTCATCTATCCACACATCTCCTGCTCCTTCTGTATCTCATCCTTTCTGTCTGTCTGTTAGTTACCTCTTTTGCTTGTCTCTCCCTATCTATCCCTATTTTCCTTGCCCACCTTCCCATCTCCATCCTGTCCCTCCATCCAGCCCTCCCTTGTCCCTCTCACCATCTCCTTTCCTGTCCTCCCCAATCTGTCAGTCTGTCCCCACTCTACCCCCAGCCTTCTTCTGTCTCTTTTCCTCAGTACCTTCCTTTCTTTTCCACCCTCCAGCTCACCCCATGGTCTGCATCACTGCTGGCGCGGGAAAGGTTGGGGGTGATGCGGCCACGGCGCGAACCCACCGGGCTCGGCTCCTGGCTGTGGTCGGCAGCCCCCGAAGGGGTGATGTCACTCAGGGCGATCACATCTGCCACCTCCTTGGGGCTCCTGGGGGGAAAAGGAGAAATAAATGGAACTGCTGTATCCTTGAGACTCCACACACCTCCTGGATCTCCCAGACTGTGTACACCCACCTCAGGCCACCCAGCACACCAGGAACTCTGTACACAGCCCCTCCTGTTCTCCCCCGACCCACAGAACACTCCCAACCTCCGACTCACCCCAGACCATTCAGCTGCAAGGGGCAGACATAGTCCTCGTCCTCGCTGGTGAGGCCCAGCTCCGAGCCGTAGCACTGATGCACCAGGTGCCAGAGCTCGCGGGGACTCAGCGTCTGGGCAGGCAGGAGGTGGGGTTGGCCTCTGCCTCATGGGGGCCCCACCAGTCTTCAGCCCTCAGCCTTGGCAGTTACCCTGGCTTCCACAAGGGGGCGCTGCGACCTCCCACACAGACCTCAGCCCAGCCCTCTGAGGAACCTTGGCCATGGTCACTCCAGGCCCAGAGCTCAGGACTTGGTACCTCAGACCTCCCAAGCCTTCAGTAGTCTGGCCAGTGAACACTCCCACCTTTAGAATACAGAGGCCCAGCGAGAGAAGTCATATGCTCAAAGTCATACAAGTGAGAGGCAACTCAGGCATTCAAGCCCAGCCAGACTCCAGAGCCGATGCTCCCACCCGACTGTTTCCCCAATGCTGTCCTGCCCCCAGCTGTTTTCCCAGGTATCGTCAGGAGTCCTGGGCTTTCAGCTACTCATGGCCAGAATGGCTGGATGACAATGATAGTGAAATTATAATAACAGTAGTAGCAGCAGCTGACATTCACTGAGCTGTTACTAGGTGCCACGTTATTTTTCTAACCCCTTTATATGTGCTACCTCACTGAGTCTTCAGAACTCTGGAAAGTAGATGCTAGTATTATTATTTTAAAACAATGATGGTGAGAGGTGCACAGTAATGTGCCCAAGGTCATCCAGCTAGGAAATGGCAGAGCTGAGATGGGATCCCAGGGGGCTGGTCTAGAGCCTTAGAGCTAACCATGGGGCTGTGCTGCCTCATAAGAGCTGACATTACTTACTCTGGGCCGAGCTCTGGGTGCTACAAGGTAGGGATGGTCCCCATATGACAGATGGGGTTCTATCAGTTCCCCAGGTCACTCAGCTGCTCAGGAATGAGGCTAGAACTCCAGGGCCTGAGTTTTGAACCCTGCTCCACCTTCACCCTCCTTGGAGACTGACTCTGCATTGCCCCTCCTTCAGGTTCCTGAGTGGCGTCCTCCAGCTCTCTAGCTTCTGAGGATGGCCATAGCTAGAGCTGCCCCTGGGGGACAGAAGCCCCTGAGAGGGCAGGACAGCTGGAGGAGTGGGTTTGGCTTTCCGAGGTGCTGGAGGCCAGAAGTAGCAGAATTATGTGATGACTACCCAACATCTATCCATCCTCCCTCCCACCAGCAGAACCCTGACTTTGTTTAGGGTGAAAATCTTTCCCAGCTCCAGGGATAAATTATGACTGGTTTACACCAATTCATCTTTCCTTCGCCACAAACTCAGCTTCAGGGTCAGGTGGAACCTTGTCTACCCCCTGGTGGGGCCTATGGAGGAAGCTGCAGGTGCAATATGGAGAAGAGCCGGAGGTTCCTCCAGCTCCCGGAGTTCTGGCACCCCTGGCTCCATGGTCACCACGGCGCACCCCTTAACCCCCTAGCCAGGCGTCATCCAGGCCCACCTTTTCAAGGAGCGCATTCTGCCAGAGGCGGAAGATGAGGAGGAAGCAGCGGTCACGGGCCCCGAAGGAGGTGAAGAAATGCTGCAGGACAGAGACAGAAAAGGGGGTGAGAGGTGGCGGACAGAGACAAGGACAGGAGCTCCGTCCTCGTCCACACTGTCTCCAGATCTCTGATGTATCCACTCACTCATCCCTGCATTTATTCCACAAAACGTTTATCCTGTGCACAGCCCTGTGCTGGACAATGAGGAGACGGCCCCTGGCCCTGTCTTCAGAGCCTACACTCTGGGGTGAGGGACAGACACATTTCCTGACAGGGTCAGCCCAGAGGAGCTGGGGCTGCGATGGGGGAAGCCCAGGGCATGTTCCCGCCTTCCTCTGCCACTAGGGGTGGTCAGTCGATCCACTTTTGGTCAACAAAACACAAAGGAAAGTCTGCTGTGAAGTCTTCCCTACTCCTTTCCTCCTTCCTGTCAGGGCCACCCGTGTGAGAGCTTGTCACCAATGGGATGTGAGGCAACAATCAAGAGGACAGAGTCGAGCACCGGGGAGGCCGCAGAGGGGTGGGGGCACCTGAGTCGCTGGATACGTGGGAGGGTAGAATTTGACTTTGCCTACTGTCCCCGAGCAGCTGTGTGAGGGGAGGCTGGTGTGGGGGTCCAGGTCAGAGAGGATGGGAGCCAGGCCACAATGGGGACTGAGAGAACAAAGAGAAGGTGACAGCTCTGAGAGCAGTTCAGGCTGCAGGACAGACAGGGCTTGGCCCTGACCGGCTTGGGAGGGTGGGTGGGGAGGAGGCAGGAGCCCGCCGAGGCCAGTGACTGCTGGGGTCAGTCCTCGGGCTCACCTTCTCGCTCTCCGTACAGATCTGGATGGCGTTGGGGATCAGCTTGGCCGTCTTTTCCTTCTTCAGACACGTCACTTCCTTCAACTGGATGGAAATCTGAGGACCAAAGGAGGGTCAGGAGGGGTCAAGGCCCTGCCAACCCCAGGGCCCCGGGCCCCTCCTCGCCCGCGGTCGGCTCACCGTTGTCTCCCAGCGGAAGATGTTGCTGTAGAAGCAGATCCAGTTCTCGGAGAGATAGAGGCGGCCCTGAAGGAGGATCTCGCGCTGCAGGGCGCAGGAGTAATCTGAGAGCGCCGAGGGGAGAGACAGGCAGACACCCGCGGGGGTCACACGGCTGTCCTGGCGGCCCACAGGCCGGGACAGTTAGAGTCGGAGGGCACAGCTGGGGGCTCAGGTCAGGGCTCCGGGCTGTGTCTGGAGTGCGGGGACTCACCCACGATGAGGCGTTCAGCTTCAGGGAGTTTGTGAAACAGTTTCCGGAAGTCCTCATTACGCTGTTTGTACGTGGGGCTCAGCATCTGGGGGAAGTTTGAGAGGTGAGAACCTGGACGGGGCTCACTCCCCCCAGTGCTGCCCCACAAAGCTCCCAGAAGTCCCTCAGTCGCCTCAGCCCCTGACAAGTTCTCTGAGATTTCAGTATCTAGCCCATAACACAACGGTAACCATGACAGCTACCATTTACTGATTCCTCATAGAAGCCAGCCCTGTGCCAAGTACCCGCCAGCAACACACACTTTATTGAATGCTCCCTTCAGCCTTGTAAGGAGAGAGAGAAAGAGACAGAGAGAGAGGCCCAGAGAGGTTAAGTGACTCACCAAGGTCACACAGCACATAAACAGCTGTATAGAATGTGACCTTAGTTCTGCTAATCTCATTACTCACTCCGTGACTGCTGCAGCCTGGGGCTCCTGGCCCCCTCCCTTCCACCCTTCTAGCAAGCCCCCTTGTACAGAAACTTACACTGTACCAGCTCTGCATCTTCTGCAAGAGAAAGGACAGGAGTCAGGACGAGCCCCTGGATTTCCCCATTCTTCCACCCCCCTGCCCCGCTCCCCATCCTCCTGTCCATCTCTCCACCCCCCACCCCACTGGGCTTGCACCAACCTTGCTATTGCGGATAAAGTTCCGGCTACCCAGGCTCTGGGTGCTGGGGGTCCCAGGCACTCCACCCTTCTCTGAGGAGCTATCTGACCCCTTCTCCACCATGGTGCTTGGTTCTGGCTCAGGCGGGGGCCGGCTTGGGGGCAAGAGTTGCAGCCGCTTACGGAGAGACGGGGAGCTGCTTGGCGTGCTCCGGCCAGAATGAGGGGTGGTGCTGGGGGCAAGAAGAGGAACACAAATGTTACGGGGAAAAATAGGCTGGGTGTGGAAACAGGCTTATTCCAGGAGGCCCACTCATCAGCCCATTGATCCCCATCCACCCATCTATCTATCCATCCATCTATCCACTTATCCATCCACCCATCCATGCATGCAGGCAGCCATACCACTCCACTTCCTAGCAGCGTGACGCAGAGCAGTTTTCCTAACATCTCTGTGCCTCGGTTACTTCATCTGTAACACCAGGATGATAAATACATGTCCTCATCTGGTTTTTTTGAGGGTTAAAGGAATCAGTACATGTAAAGTACTTCTAACAGAGCCTGGCACATAGTGAGCTCCCGGTAACACCTGCTGTTTTTTTAATTAACGTATTAATTCACTCATACAATAAGTATTTATTGAACCGCAACTTTCCACTTTGTTGCTTGAGCTGAAAACCTAAGCATCTTCCTTAATTTCTTTCTTCTCCTCACCCCTCATTTCTAATCTGTCAGTAAGTCCCACCAGCTCCACCTCCAAAATCTATCCATTTGTTCTGTTATGCCCACCTCCCCCTGCTCCAGCCTCCATCCCCTCCTGCCTGGACATCTCAGCAGTCTCCTCCCTGGTCCCCCTGCTCCTGTCCTTCCCCACAGTCTATCCTTACCTGCAGCTGGAGGGAGCCTGTGAACACCTGAGTCAGGTCAGGGTCCACCTGACTCAGACCCTTGACTGTACCTTACTCCAGCTAAAAGCAAAGTCCTCACCTTGGCACCCAAGGCCCTAGTGATCCGGTCCTGTCACCTCTCTAACCTCATGCCCTCCCCTCTCCCTGTCCTCCCTCCACCCTAGCTATCCCAGCCTCCTTTTGTCCCTTAAGCTCTCCAACTTCATTCCATGTCAAGGCCTCTGCACTTGTGGTTCCCTCTGTCTGGAATGTCCTTTCACAGTAGACGGAGCATAACTGGCTCTGTCTGCTTCAGCTCAAATGCTCCTTCCCTGGTCACCCAGCCTAAAGTAGCACCTCCCTGGTCACACCCACACTATCTAAACTCCTCCTGCTCCTTTATTCAATTTGGTCATCGTCTGCCCAGACTGTGAACTTCGGGAGATCTTGGTTGCCACTGTGTCCCCAGCACTCAAAACTGCACGTGACACATAATGAGTGCTCAATAAACATTGGTAACTAAGTGAATAATCCATGCACTGGCTGGAGCTCCATCAGACGTGGTTCCAGCCCTTGGAGAATTAACCTGGTGGGGAGGCCGTTGTTAAACAAACAGAGCACTCAAATGACTGTACAAATACAAACCAGAGGCTGAAGGGTGTCGGGAACTTTAAAGAAACATTCACTGTTGACTCCTTATCAGGAACTATGTCAAGCTCTCCTTATGATTAATTTTATTATGCCTCAAACAACCCTGTGCATTTGATCCCTGCTTTATAGAGAAGGATGCTGAGGTTCAAGGTGGTGAACCACTTACCGAAAGATGCACAGCTAGTTTATTTCAGGGCAGGGTTCCAACTTGGAGGCCTTGATCTATTCTGGGGTGAGGTGGGTTTCCCTCCACCACTTGGGGCTCCTCAAACTTGTCTCTATTGCCTCCCAGTCTCAGCACATGCAGTTCCCCCTGTCCAGACCCTCCTTTCTTTTCTTTGACTGGCAAATTCTTACGCGTCCTTTGAGACTCTTGCTCACATATATCCTCCCTCCTGTGGGTCCACACAGCCCCTGGGAAGCTCCCATCCCAGCCCTGACTACTCTGGGCTGTCACTGTCTGATGACAGGTCCATTTCCCTCACAGGTCTGTGAGCTCCCTGATGGCAAGCCTTGGGGTTGTCTTGGTCACTGCTCTGTCCCCAGTACTGTTCAGGACAGGGCGCAGTGCAGGCATTCATTTAATACTTATAAAATGAATTTGTGGAATAAAATTAATGAATAAATTAACTAGGTGGTGGTCCAGGACAGCACCACTCCCGCTGGACATCCCAGCAGCCTTCTCCCTGGTCTTCTGCCCCATCCCTGCCCTCACCTACAGCCAGAGGGAGCCTGTGAACCCCTGAGTCAGGTCAGGCACCCCTGGCTGCACCTCACTCCAGTAAAAGCCCACGGCTCCCTGGTCTTCTGCCCCCATCCCTGCCCTCACCTACAGCCAGAGGGAGCCTGTGAACCCCTGAGTCAGATCAGGCACCCCTGGCTGCACCTCACTCCAGTAAAAGCCCACGGCTCCCTGGCCACATTACTCTCGCGCTTCCTCTCCTCCGGCTCCTGCCTTGGCTGTCCCCTCTGCCTCAAATGCTCTTCCACCCAGATGCGCACCAGCTCCCTTACCCCCTCCAGCTCCCTGCTCAATGGGCACATTTCAAAGATGGCTTCCCTCACCTCCCTATTTAAAATCACACCCCCCACTCTCCCGATCCCCCTTCCCCACTTTATCTTTCTCCTCAGCACGTCTCTCTACCAGACCTCCTGTGTTGTCCCTTATTTCTCATCCTCCTCCCCCACCACGATGTGAACATCCCCATTGCTTAGAATGGGGCCTGGCACCCAGTAGGGGCTCCATGAGCATTTGTACAAATGCTCACTGAATGAATGAATGACTGACCCTCCGCTGCCTCCCCTCACAGAGCTTGGATTCAACCAGGTGTGCGACTTGCTGGACTTACAGAGCAGCAGCTTGGAGTATGGACCCCAGCCTCCAACGGGCTTCCAGTCTCAGGGCTGCCACTTCCTGCCTGTGTGACCTTGGGCCAATGTCTGAACCTGCCTGTGCCTCAGTTTCCTCTTGTGAATAATGGGAGCAATAACAGTACCCACCTCGTGGGTTGCTTGGAGGAAAAAGTGAGGTAAGATACGTAAAGCCCAGCACATAGAAGGCACTCTGTTTTGATTTTGTTGTTTTCCCTCCTACAGACTCAAAAGGAGTGTCCAGCCCTGCAGCTATCCCAGTGCACCTCTATCCAAGATGCTGCACTGACCCTGACAGGTACCTCATGAGCACCTCGGCCTGTCATTAGGAGCCTCCATGAACTGCCCCCCAATTCCAGTCATTCACTCTCTAAATACAAACTGAGTGCCTGCCCATGGGGATGCAGCAAGAGCAAAACAAATACCGTCCCCTGCCTGCAGGGGCCTGATGTTCTAGATGGGGAACCCGGACAATCAGTAAGAAAGCATGTGAATGAGGATCGTGACCTCGGACCCTGGCAGGTGCTACAAAGCAGCACCACTCAGCCTGGTCCCCAGACCAGCAGCACCAGCAGCACTAGGAAGCTGTTCGACATGCACATTACAGGACCCACTCCCGACCTCCTGAATCAGAAACTGGGGCTGGGGCCCAAGAGATTCTGATGCATGTTCAAGTTTGAGGTCCACAAAGATAAACAATGGGGCAACCGCAGGTAGACATGGTTTCTCTAGTGAGGGAGTCAGCAAAGGCCTTGCTGAGCAAGGCTCACTTGAGCCGAGCCTGAGGACAAAGAACAGATCTGGCAAAGAGTGAGAGAAGACTGTTCTGTGTACGGGAACATCAAGTTCAGGGACAGGACTGAGTTTGGCAGGTCTGAGGAAGAGGGAGGTGGCCAGTGGGGCAAGGAGGGCACAGGCCTTTGTGCTCTCATCAGGAGTCTGGGCTTCACCCCGAGGGCGCTCGTGAGTAGGGACAGGCTCTGAAGTAGGGGGTGACCACACCCCTCCCTATGTCATCTTCTCACCTCTCTAACCTGGAACACAGTCTTGCCCTGCTCTCCTGCGGCCACAGGTCTAGGGGCAGGAAGCCTGAGGGCAGATTGAAGGTACACAGGCAGGGCAGGGCCCACACCCCCAGTTCTTGTTCCTGGGCAGGAGAAAAAGGAAGTGCTCTTGGGCGGGCCCTGGGGCTGCCCAACCAGGCCAGCTGATGGCAGAGCAAAGTGGTTAGAGGACCGTTATGGAGACAGGGACTTAGGGACTCGGAAGAGAATGTTGTTTTTGCCACTGCCGACACCTGACCTCGGGCTTCCTGGGTCTGAGCAGGCCTGGAGCTGCCTCTGGTCAGAGAGAAGCAGATGCATACACAGGTGTCCATAAAAGGGGAACTCAATGAGGGTCACCCACATCCAGTGTCATAGGTAAACAGTTTCCCCTCAGTTGCAAGAGGGTTATCTCTTTCTTTTCTCTCTCTCTCTTTCTCTCTCTCTCACACGCACACACACAGAGCAGTAGCATCACAGGTATGCTACAGACACACACAGAGCCAGAGTCCCAGAATAATTACATGCGTGCACGTTCACACACACACAACTGCAGCATTACAAGTATGCTACAGTCATACACAAAGTCCCAGAAAAGTTACACATGCACACGTGTGAGCATGCACATACACAGAGCTGCAGAGCGTCACAGAAACACACAGAGAACCACAGGAAGCCCCAGATAAATTATATTCTCACATATAGCCACGAGAATGTCTCAGCAAAGAATTGAAGACAAATAACACTCACACAGTCAAACAGAGCCACCCGGTAAAGGAAAAGTCACAGAGTACCCCAGCTAACACCTACACAATCCTAGTCATACGGTCAGCCAACACTCACACAGCGATGAAGGAATAATGAGGCTCCAGGGGGTTTTGGACACACCTCGACAACACAATGGCCAGGTGTTGAAATGATGCATGGGACATTTTTACAAACTGTAACAGGGGGACAATATCAGTTATTACTGTTGCCTCCAGAGAGTCAAGGGTACACCCAAGGTCTCAGGAGAGACGGTCCCTGATCCGAAGAGAGCCACAAGGGATCTCTCTGTCTCTCACTCTCTTCACATACACAAAGTCACAGAGTGTCTCAGCTGCACATAGAGAGGCCCTGGGCACATCCAACAATGTTACACAGGATGCACACAGGAACTTTCACACAAAGATGGAATCAGTGGTTAATTACAGGCACAACCACACAGAGTCACAGACACACACAGAGTCCCAAACATACAACAATGTCACAAACGGACACCACAGGTAATTTATATCTGCACACAGAGCTAAATGAGAGTTTCAGAGGTAAATTACAGACATATACAGGCACAGAGAGTCACGGTGGAATACACTGAGCCCCAGACACACATGTACAACACACTGCAAAGTCACAATTGGACACACACTGGTAATTTACTGTGACACTTGGAACCACAGATGGAATTAATGGTCAATAACGCACACCAATAGCTAAGGTGGGTCACGGCTGCTGCACACAAGGAGCTCCAGACACACACCCTACAGTCACAACCAGACACACATAGCTCATTTATATTTGCACCCGGAGCCACAGATGGAATGAGATACATTACACACATACAACCACAGAGGGTCACGGCTGCACACGCAGGCCCCAGACACACACTACAGTCACAACCTGACACGCACAGATAACTTACCATAACACACAGAGCCTTAGATGGAATTCATGGTAAATTACACACACGAACACAGCCAAAGAGGACCACAGCTGTTACACGCAAGGAGCCGCAGACACCCGCACACACACTTCCAAGTCACAATTCATAATCGGAAACACACTCGCACACCGGGCCTAGACCGGGAGTAGGACATCAATTCCGCGCACACGCGACCCCAGAGGATCTCAGGCATGCGGTCCTCGGGCCACGCGGAAGCCCCCACCGCCAGCAGCCGCGAGATCCACCGAGGACAAGGAGGTGGGAGGGGGCCGGACGGGACGCCCTCTTGGGCCTGCCCGAGGCTCCCCGGCCTGTGCGCCCGGCCGGCGGGGGTCGGTCTCCATCCTCCCTCCATCCTCGCGCCCAGCCCTGGCCTCCCAGGCAGCGGCGAGTCAGGCCGGGGGTCCCGCCCCGCCGGACCCCAACCCCAGCATCGCGGGCCTGCAGTGACGACCCATCCTCGGGCCCTGCTCACCCCCCACCCCCGGGCCGTCCCCTTGTCC